CCCCCCCCCCCCCCAAGCATTATTTCCTTCTTTCTTATTAAAGCACGAGTTCTTAGTATATGTATATATGCTCAATTATTATTACTCTTTTATCAGATTGCTACTCTTAAAGCTGCCTTGGCAAGAAAAGAAACGGAACCGGTCTCCACACATCATAAGGTAACAAGCAGTCCATATGGCTTGCAGTCATCACCTTTTCAATCTAATCCACATGGGAGAGAAATGTTGGCCGATTCAAACATTCAGAGGAGACCAATGGAGGATGTAGGCAACAGAGAGGTAAAATCTCTACGACTTAGTTGATTTCAGTCATTAAGAGACCAAAATGCAGACGCCTTCCTGTTTAGCAAATGAATATTTTACTGAAGTCTAGTACACTACAAACATTTAGTGGTGTTTTCGCTGAATAGTTAAATAAATACTCCAGAAGGGGAGCCTTGGAACAACGATAAAGTTATCTCCGTGTGACCTATAGGTCACGGGTTCGAGCTGTGGAAGCAGCCACTAATGCTCGCATTAGGTTAGGCTGTCTACATCACAATCCCCTTCCCGGAATCCTGCGTGAACGCGGGATGCTTTGTGCACCAGGCTGCCATTTAGTTAAATAAATACTCCCTCTGTCACGGGTTCGAGCTGTGGAAGTAGCCACTAATGCTCGCATTAGGTTAGGCTGTCTACATCACACTCCTTGGGGTGTGTCCCTTCTCCGGATCTCGCGTGAACGCGGGATGCCTTGTGCACGAAGCTGCCCTTTAGTTAAATAAATACTCCCTCTGTTCCTGTTTATGTGAACTTTTTGCTTTGGAGAGTCAATTTGACTAATTTTGAAGCTAAATTGGATTAGATTAATTCAATATTTTGAAGTTAAATTTAAATATTCAAAACCTATATGGAAAGTACTATAAGGTGCAATTCTTCCGGTGCCAATATGATGAAAAAATGCATTCAAAATGTTGGTGAAGTTTACATAGTTTGTATATCGTTTTAAAAGTTTCACATAAACTGGAACGGAGGGAGTAGTAAACATGGAAACACAAGGAAATAGCACCGTAGCACAACATGAAAATTGGTTTATATCAAAAGAAAAGCACAAGATACCTTTACTAAAGATTCTTATAAGCTTCTACCTTGATACATGCAGTTATCATCGTGTTTGACATTTTCTAATTTGCTTTAATTTACAGGTCTCTAGTAATTCTGCATTCAGACAAAAGAGGCAAAGTTTTGATCTCGATGAGTTACTCGGAAATTCCCCTCCCTGGCCACCCGTTAGCAGTCCTTGTGAAAACTTTGTAGAAGATGACAGAGACATGAGCTCAGGCGAGTGGGTAGACAAGGTCATGGTGAACAAGCAGGACGCTGCACGTGGAGTTGGAAACCTGTTTGGATGGGAATCTGAAAAAAGCAATGTGTCCGACGTACTTTATGAGAAATATCTTTCAGATTCATCTAAAGTATACCAAGAAAAATCAAGTAATCTTTTCCAAATGAGCAACCACTTTGACATCACTACTGCCGAGGATTTAGATGAGTTTGATGCCACTACGAGTGATTCGTCCGAGCCAGATTTGCTTTGGCAATTCAATAATACAAAACTTAACAGTTTCCCCAATGGGAATGGGTCAAAGATACAGAAACCAAATACTAAGCCAGCAAAGAGCCCAGAATCAAGGTTAGTCCTAGTCTTTTACACTTGGTGGTTTATTTAGTATCTCAATAGTAACATGCCTGTTAATAGAAAAGAAGATGAAATAGTACTATTTTAATGAGTTCAACTTCTATACGCTGAGAGCATAAAAGGAATTTTTATACTATTAAGCGACCTAAAAGATAATTACAAGTAATTGTCCATTAAAGGTGGGATTAGTAACGAGGAAAATAAAGCTGATTACCTGTACAACAAGTTAATATACATTGGTAGTGTAAAAGTGTATGCAAGTTAAATCCCTTTCCCGATAACCATTCGTTCACTGCGTACTGTAGGAATATGGTTCATAAAGTCGGGCCTTCAATATCACGACAGACGAATGGAGGAGTCGGCTACAATCAGAGGAATGGCAGGCAGGCCATGCCAACTGAAATGAAGCGTAAAGCCGGGAGCAGGAAATAGGGGAAGAGTTTCCAATTCTTTTACTATCATTTTTTAATTTTTTGAGTCAATAGTGTGGGAGAGTGAATGAGAGAGAGGTTTTGCATTATTTTTTGTGACATAAGGTTTCTTCATCCTATTTGATTGTTCCCATCAAAGTTTGTATCTTTACAATGTGAATGAGGCAATAATTCCAGTTGCTTGTAATTTTTGTATCATTGGATTTGTAAGAGTTGTAGTTCTTGTTGGATAATGTGGTAGGTTAAAACTAAAAATGCTAGGAAAAAAATGCTCCCAGGCACGTTAACCGAGATAACTCTCTATCCTACTTCCTAGGTGGGTAGAGCAACCAGCTTCCGGTGTAAAACCCATCGGAATCCCTTAACTCCCTTCTTTCTCCCTCAAATTTACAGGCTTAAAACCATGGATAGTGATAGGATTTATTTCAACGCGGGCTTCAAATCTTTCGACATCACTAGGAATAGAACTAAATCACAAGTCTGGTTCGAATGGGTTGAACGTAGTAGAAAATTAATGAGGTCAGCTACAGTTAGCATCAAAGTTATGAAATGGGTGACAGAAGTGTTTAATGTGGCATCAAAGCAACATAATAAGGCAATCATGAGATGGTCGATGAAGGACCACTACATAGAATATTACTGCAATCTTAAATACAATGAATATGGTAGATACATCAGCTTCATTGCAGTACAAGGGGATAATATGTCTATTATTATTACACCAGAAATCTCATTAAATGCTGGGTGGGGAGTTATAGCTCAGAAAATCTTTAGGTTCATTAATGTTCCTGACAAAGAAAAGAAGACTCAGTTGGAAGTCATTCCTCGATTGGAATCTTCTTTCAAGGAAGCAATCAGAACTAGCAGATGGCAATCAGAAGGAACGAAAGCATCTCCTATCAAAACCAACAAGTCCAAGATCTCAATCCCAGGTGGAACAGAGCTAACGGAGAAAGATGTTTTGAACAGATGCATTGTAGGCAAAGTTATGATTTCCACAAAGGAATCACCAACTCTGAATGACATCAGAAGGTGGGCAGGCAACAATTGGAAGTCGGCTATCAGTATAAATGTCTATGAGATGAATGACTTTCAGTTTCTCTTCGAATTCCCCTCGAGGAAGGAGGCAGAGCATGTCCTCAACGGAGAATGACATTGGAAGAAATCTAAAGTTAACCTAGACTGGTGGAGCCCTACCACTGGATGCTGGCCGGAAGAGGTAAAGCGGGACTGGGTGTGGATTAGGTTATTGGGTCTACCGGCAAACTTATGGTCGGAAAAAGTATTCAAAACTATAGGAGAGCAGTGTGGGGGTTGGATCGAAACAGAGGAGGAGACAGTACTCAAAAATCATCTTCGCTGGGCAAGGATTAAAGTGAGGGGGGATGGAAGTGAGGTTCCTAGAGAGTTAGTATTGGAGAGTGATGGGTATTTGTATAAAATTCCGGTCTGGTGTGAACTTCCGGCGACCGTGAAGGCGGTACACTCGAGGGAAGAAGAAGAAGAGGGAGACAGAAATCTGTTGGGTAATGAAAAAGGTCCTTACCCGTTGGCTTATAAGGGGATCCACTTCGAAAAGGGTGAAAGGTCGACGCCTGTTAGGGACAATCACGTGGGTTCTCTGATGAGGGGTGGGGGGGGGGGGGTAGGTTTTAAAAAGTAGTGCACATGTGCCTGTTACACGTGACTATCAGACCAAGCCACAAAAGGAGAAGTTGGGCGACCATCAAATTGGGCCCGAAACCAGATTGACCAGTCTTTAATTTTTGCTGTAATAGCCCAGCCTTTCAGCCTTTCCAACCCATAATGAATTATTAAAGTGACCCTCTTCAATTNGGGCTAAATAGACAGAGCAAGAGGGAGTTGATTAAAAATATGATTGACAGCTGGAAGGCAGAAATCTACTATTTCAAGAAACTAAATAGGAAGGGAGATAAGAGAGATTGTTAGAGTATTTATGGACAAAGTAGGTAGGGTTAAAGTTTGCTCAATTAGAAGCTAGTGGCACTAGGAGGGGGGTTCTCATAATGTGGGACAGCAGGGTATGGGAAGGTGAGGTCAGTAGTGTGGGGGCTTTCTCAATCACAATCAAGTTCAGTGGAAAACTACAAGAATATGTTTGGCACTTGTCTAGCATTTATGCTCCTAATGATAGAAGGGAAAGAGAAAAAGTATGGTGGGAGGTAGGTGCTGCTAGAGGCCTATTCAATGGGCCTTGGGTGGTATGTGGGGATTTCAATACAGTTAGATACCCATCGGAGAAGAAGAACTGCAACAGGTTCACCAGGTCAATGCTAGATTTTTCAGAATTCATCAATGATAAGGGATTAGCAGACATACATTTAATGGGAGGGAGGTTCACGTGGAAGAAAGGGGTTGATCACAATATTGCTGCTAGACTGGACAGATTCCTAGTTTCAGAAGAATGGGATGAAGGGTTTAGAAATATTAACCAGTCAATCCTACACAGAGTTACATCAGATCACTCTCCTCTGTTACTTCAAAGTGGGAATTGGGAGCCAGTGAAGTCCTATTTCAAGTTTGAAAACTGGTGGTTGTTGACTGAAGGTTTCAATGAAAGAATTAAAGTTTGGTGGGAGACTTTCTCCTGTGAAGGTAGACCTGACTATATCCTAGCCCTCAAGCTGAAAGCTCTGAAGGGAAAACTCAAAGAATGGAGCAAATTAACTCAAGGCAATCTGAATATACAGAGGTTGAATTTGCTGGGCCAACTAGCTGAATTGGAAGAGACACAAGAATTGAGGATGCTGAATGAAGAAGAGAAGATCAAAAAAGCTACTTTATTGATTGAATTTGAGGAAAATGTTAGGAAGGAAGAAATAGCATGGAGGCAAAGGTCTAGAGCACTTTGGTTGAAGGAAGGGGACAGAAACACCAAGTTCTTCCATAGAACTGCCAACTCTCACAAGAGGTACAATAACATTGACAAGCTACTAGTGAATGGAGAAACAGTGGAGAACCTTGCAGAAATTAAAAGAGAGATTGTTGCCTTTTACCAACATCTGTACACAGAGACTGAGGAGTGGCGACCATAGTGCAACTTAAGGGATTGGCCCACCATCACTACAGAAGAGAACCAGATGCTACTGAGTCCAATTGAACCACAAGAGGTATGGGAGAGTGTGAAAGCATGTGCAGGGGACAAAGCCCCAGGTCCAGATGGCTTTACCATGGCTTTCTACATCCAATGCTGGAATGTGATAGGCCCAGAAGTGATTGCAGCAGTACAACACTTCCAGACAAATGGGACTTTTGAAAAGAGCTTTAATGCAACTTTGGTGGCTTTGATTCCAAAGAAAGTGGGAGCCAAAGAATTGAAAGACTTCAGACCTATTAGCTTGATAGGGAGCTTCTACAAAATTATATCAAAGATTATGGCAGAAAGACTCAAAAAAGTCATTGGAAAATTGGTGGACACTCAATAGATGACCTTTATCAAAGGAAGGCAAATCATGGATGTTGTTCTGATTGCAAATGAGTGTGTTGATGTTAGATTGAAGAGCAAAGAACCAGGCATTTTGTGTAAACTAGACGTAGAAAAGGCTTATGACCATTTGAACTGGGAGTTTCTACTGGGAATTCTACTGAAGATGGGTTTTGATGAGAGATGGATTATGTGGATCAAGTTCTGCATAAGTACTGTCAAATTCTCAATTCTGATAAATGGATCACCTGTGGGATTTTTTTCTTCTCAGAGAGGCTTGAGGCAGGGGGACCCTATATCCCCCTTTCTATTCATTTTGGCAATGGAAGGTTTAAACAGTATGTTTAAATCTGCTAAAGCCAACAATTGGATTAAGGGTTTCAGAGTGAACTCAAGAATTCTGGAGAAAAATGGAAGTATCACACCTACAATATGCAGATGATACACTGGTGTTTTGTGATGCTGATAGAGATCAGGTGCTTCTCTTGAGAGTGATATTCATCCTGTTTGAAGCTATTTCTGGATTACATATTAACTGGAATAAGAGCTTCATCTATCCAGTTAATGTAGTAATGGAGATTAATCGCTTGGTGAATATTCTGGGAGGGAAAGTAGGATCACTGCCAACAGTCTACCTTGGAATGCCCCTTGGAGCAAAAAGCAAATCAAAAGGGACTTGGAATGGTGTAGTTGAGAAGTGTGAGAAGAAGTTAGTCAGCTGGAAAAGCCAGTATTTATCATTGGGAGGGAGACTTACATTAATCAACAGTGTACTGGATGCTATGCCAACCTATATGATGTCCCTCTTTCCTATGCCTGTAAGTGTAGAAAAAAGACTTGATGCAATCAGGAGAAACTTTCTATGGCAAGGAGCCAGTGAGAAGAGCAAGATTCACCTAGTCAGATGGGATGTTCTCACAACAAGCAAAAAAGAAGGGGGTATGGGGATCAGGAAATTGAAGAATCAAAATTAAAGCTTGATGATGAAGTGGTTATGGAGGTTTTGCCACATCAGAACAATCTTTGTGGAAAAATGTTATTGAGGAAAGATATGGGAAGGAAGGCAGCTGGACAACCAAACCTGTGAACACTCCCTATGGGGTTAGTCTGTGGAGATCTATTAGAAATCAATGGCCAAAATTCCGTAATAAGGCTAGTTTTAAAGTTGGCAATGGTATGAAGACTTCTTTCTGGGAAGACAAATGGCTCGGGCAAAGAACCCTGAAGCAGCTATTCCCAGACATCTACAACCTCAACCAACAACAAGCTTCATATGTTGGAGAATTGTGGACAGGCCAAGGGTGGAATCTCACATTCAGAAGACTATTAAATGATTGGGAAATTCAAAGGGTGACAGAATTTTATAACACTCTAGAACAATTCAAAGGAACCTCTACCACTGAGGATAAGGTGTTTTGGCAAGGGGGAAAAGAGGGAAAGTACTCTGTAAGATCTGCCTACAAGATCTTCAACCAGTCTAACAACCAGAATGATCAGTGGCCATGGAAGATGATATGGAAAGTAAGAATTCCTTACAAAGTTGCATGTTTTACTTGGTTATTAGCAAGAGAGGCAGTCCGGACACAAGATAATCTCACCAAGAGAGGTTATCAGCTGGGGTCCAGATGCTACCTATGTGAAGCTCAGGAGGAGACAGTCAATCATCTTTTTTTGCACTGTAGTGTCACTGATCAACTGTGGAAGATTTTCATTAACCTGAGGGGGATCAGATGGGTTATGCCAAGAAGAATCAAGGAAGTCCTAAGCAGTTGGAAAAGAGATGGGGAACACTCCAACCAGAAGGAGAGATGGAAGATTGTCCCGGCTTGTATATGGTGGACAATATGGAAAGAAAGGAATCAGAGATGTTTTGAGGATAACCATAGTTTAATACAAAAACTGAAGATGAGCTGTTTAATGCTCTTTTATTTTTGGTGTAAACAGAAATATCTAGAAGAGAGTGAGTTAATTTTTGATGTTTTAGATCAATTGTAAGTCTTTTAGAATCTAAGGCCTCTCTTCTGGTTTTCCCTTTGTAATTATCAGAAGGTTACACTTTCAATGTAACCTTTTCCATATTCAATACAAACATATTACCTTTTCAAAAAAAAAATGTGGTAGGTGACAGAGCGTGAAGATTCTCAACCAATAGTTACATATAATAATCTTGTGGCACTTTTGAGGATTTGACTTTGTAAATTTTGCACATATATAATTAAAAAGTGAGCATTGAGAATGTTTCTTCTATATGTTCTACATGTATTTGTTTTTGTCGTCTTCCCGATATTCAAATGCTGTCAATCTTTTTTCTTTTTACTGCCTTCATATATCATACTCTTGAAGTGGAGCTTTGGAGCAACGGTAAAATTGTCTCCGTGTGACCTATAGGTCAAGGGTTCGAGTCGTGAAATCAGGCATTGATACTTGTATCAGGGTAGGCTGCCTACATCATACCCCTTGGGGTGCGGCCCTCCTCCGGATGCGAGATGCTTCATGCACCGGCTGCCCTTATACTCTTGGTCATGGGCGGAGCCAAGGGCAGAAGGGGATTCACCCTTCGCCAAACAATTACACTATACATACTAGGTCGAAATTATTTTTAATGTATATATAGTAGATGTTAAATCCCTTTAACTTTTTCGTATGTTTAGTTCTTTATATGTAAACTCCCTAGGCTAAATCCTGGCTCCACCACTACAGTTCTGCAAGAGAAGATTGGAACTCAATGAATATAAGCCGGGACCAAGAATTACGCTTTTGCCACCGCTGCTTATTAGAGCACGCAAACTTTCTTTCAGTACATTGTCCTGGCACACAGAATTCATGAGTACTATTAACAAGGTAGTACTTGTTCTGTCCGGTTTCCTACTTTATATGACGATGTTTGACTGAACTCGGGAAGAGCCTAAGAATGGAAGTTTTATATGATGGTGTCAAACAAATTCAAGAAGCACAAGCACACCAGATTCAATATTTCAAAAGAAGAAAAGAACCTTCTATTACACAGATATATGGACCTTTGCTAGTGGCTGACATTCTTGGAATCTTTACATAAATAGACGGTTGGTTTTACTATTTACTTTTTCTGACCAGTATAAATAGATTATTTATTGATTGTACACATATTATACATGAATTATACATATATTATATATCCACTAGCTATTCTTAGGTGACTTGCCCTAAGGGACAAAAGTTAAAAATAACCCTTATGGTGTCTTATTTATGTTATTTTCTGAATTTGATGCGCTCTATGCATGGAATTCGCAAACAATGGCGTAGCCCACCTTGTATCAAGGATGGTCAACCGAACACCTTTCGCCGGAAAATTTACTATGTATTTACCTTATATGATCATAAAGTATACTTTGAACGCCCTTAAATACATGTTTAAGAGGTAGCTCATTGGTTAAGGGTGTTCGAAGTGAAGAGGAGTTCAAGTCCTTGTGTTGAAATTTTTATTAAATTAAATAAAATTAAATAGAGACCATCGTATTTGGTCTAATTAACTCTGCTTTTTAATCCAAATTTTTTCTAATAAATAGTAACTCCTAAATAGAGCTTAAAATCTGAACATAAGGAACCGATCTAAAAAGTAATTTTAATTATTAGTTTCTTTGTTAAACAAACCCTTAAGGCTACAAACCCTCTCAACTCTCTCTTTTCTTTGGTTTTATGTTTACTAGATTTTTTTTTTTTTGTCTTTTTTATGTTCTTTTGATTTATATTGTAGTTTTATTATAAGTGTTTTATGCTTTATTAATTATTAGTTAAAAAAAATATGTACTAGTTTGATTTAGATTTGCAGTGCACCCACTTATACAAAAAAAATATTACTATCTTTTTTGAAGATTGAACTCACTTAGCAAAATTTCTGGCTATGCCACTATTGGCAATGCCCAAGTATGTTATGGAGAGTAGGTATATTGCCACAATGGTTTCTTCCAATTCAATAATTATTGAAGAAAACCTAGTTAAGCTAGGGTTCACTTATCATAAGTAACACACATTAATACCCCGTCTTAATGGATCAAAGAGGATCAACATAGGATGTGTTTGGTATAACAGAAAATATTTTTCGTGGAAAATATTTTTCAAGAAAATATTTTCTTGGAAAACAAGTAATAATCTTATTCATTTTTTGGTGTTTGGTACGCAAATTAAGGAAAATGACTTCTCAAGAGTATTCATAAATAATTTAGATATAATAGACATGAAGCCATAAACTTTCAAACCAACAACCTTCCGAACCCACATTTTTCATAAACTTTCGAACCGCTAAACTTTCGGAACCGCGGAATTTCTAACCCGTAAACTTTATAATTTCTAAACCCGTAAACTTCCAAACACGTAAACCTCGCAACTCATAACTTTGGAACTTGTAAAATTTTGAACTTTTAAATTGATAAATAAAAATTAAAACTGAAAAATATATTAAAAATTATTTTTTTTCGGGGGGGGGGGGAGGGGGTGGGTGGTGCAGAAAAACGGAAAACAGAAATTTGAAATTGCAATAAAAAAAAATAAGGTAAAAAAATAGGGAGGGGTGGGGATGGGGTGGGGTGGGGTGGGGTGGAGGGGTAGTAGGGGTGGGTGGTAATAAGGGTGTCT